TCGCACACATTAATCCACGTGTTGAGTTTTGATTGTCGATTCAGTCCACTTTGTCTTGAAGTCAAACGTACCAGTGAATGCATTGGATCTTGATAGAGTGGGTGCAAATGTTGAGGAGAAAACGTTGTTTTAGACCGTCCCCCCAAGACTTATGGGGCTCCGTGTCAACCAGGATCCACCGCTACCGACCAGGATAGAATAGATGAGGAGAAATGATCTTTTTGATTTCTTCGGGTTACTTGGAAACGGTGATAAAATCTGAGCAGTCCACTTGTTTCTAAGTCATGAGTTTCCAAGCTGATTAGAGCGGAACCGACAATGAAGGTGTCCAAAGAACTATGCTCCCATGTGTCATCGGTCATCGGTCATCTCCAGTTTTACCATTTATCAGCTCGAACGAAATTCCCACCCTAGGATACTTTTTTTTAGCAAAATACACTCATTTGCAAACTAATTCAGTTTTGCTGGAGGCTCACCTAGAATCCAGGTGAATCTCTGGGTTTTGATGTATCCAGGCAACTGAATGTGCTACACCCGGCCGCCTCATGTTTCAGTCGCTTCGATTTTCGAGATATCGCGATACATGTATATATTTGTAATGCACTGCTCGTAAGGTTACTGAAAACTCTTCGACAGCCTAGGACCAGAAACTTAAAAACCGAGAGATTCAGCTGGGTTCCATGTGAGTCTCTCGCAAAACCAAATTCGTTTGCAAATGAGTGTGGTTCGCTAAGTTCGTGCAATTTTGTTTCAAGTAGAACATAAGGTTGACGGAACCCCGGGGTCTGCGCCTACCTGATGAGCCCCAAAAAAGGCGAAACTGGTCGTGGGCTGTCGACGAATTTTCAGCAACCTTATGAGTAGTGCCGCACTCTCGAGGTGGGTGAACTAAAGAAGTGTTCTCGATAAAATTCTAATTTCCGGATAATCGACCGTGGTTGTTCTACTGCTATGCCGTAAACAGTGCATACACCGCAAATAAACGTGCAGGAGTCCAAATTTGTTCTAATCCCGCCTTGGTGGCCAACTGAGGTCAACTTTTCGTCATCCACCACCGTCGTCATTCCCAACTAGAGAATGCCAGCTGCTGCCGCCTGATGCTCCAGTGCCGAAAGCTAAACTAGGTGGGATCAAATACTACCTTAGTCGAACGTTTGAGTCACTCGAGTCTTCTGCGGGTAACGCCCATCTCAACGGCTGTTTTGAATGAATGACCTTTCTCTGAGGAAGGGACGTTTCTCGCTTAGCTAATCGCCTCCCTGTAATTTCAGCCACCCAAGTCGTTGACGAATAAAAATTTGCGGCATTTGCAACCCTTTTCTCTCTCCTCATCATCCCACGCTATCCTATCGATTAAGCTTATTGACAGGGTTAACCATGTGATCAATAAAAACCCGGGAATGATTTAGTGGCAACAGAGGTGAATAAGTTCGGTTTATTTGATTTTATTGATTTTATTGAACTTTGTGGTTTGTACTATATTTCATGTTCCCTTGCATGTGTTTAGCTCCCAGGAAAGATCAAACCCCGATCACTCCTGAATGTCTCCACGCTGCTTCAATGTACAACTTCCCAGCTGAAACTTATCAGCAATGATTTACATGAAGTAATCGGGGGTAAGCCATTTTTCTTAATCGCTTTAACAGTAATTGTGTTAAAAAATTTGCAATGATACTCGGGAGACGGACAGAACAGTGGCTTTGTTACGAGGCAAGTTCGTGTGACTTACAAACTGGAGGTAACCCAGTATCTCTTAGACTAATTGAAATCAGATTCTTGCACCCTTCAGCATCTGATCTCGAACTAACTTTCACGAGCGACAATTCGAATTGGTGAAACGTCGGAGTAGCTTACTTCTGCGTATTTATCTAACTGTATATGATGGATTATGTAAGAGGGCTTAGTTTCTTCTCTGAACTCAAATTCGGAGCGCTGTTAAATCACCGTCGGTTGAATGATCTCTTACTGATTACAACTTGATGCAATCCTTAGGCATTTTACACTTTCGTTAGTCTCCACTTGATTGTCCACTCGAAATCCCTTGGCCTCTTCGTACTACATTTTGGTTCTTATGCTAGAAATCTGCTTTGTCCAGCCTCAATCCAACAGAGCACCTCTTACCCGCGAAAAGAAGGTGCTTCTGAGAGAAGCGTGAAATTGCATGACCTTGAAATCGCCTTCATTGAAGGAGATAATATATCTTCTGAAATGAGTGTCTCTGACTAAAAGATGACTTGGTCACACAAGTTAAAAGGTAGTCATTCAACTAAGTGTAAAAGTGGAACGGTTTCGTGATCGGTTAGTTTGTGGGATGACGGCTAAATTGCTGGAAAGTTTTTCGTTCAGCCAGTGATGATGAGTGATTAAATGCCCGTAGTTTCAGTTGATCCGCAATGAAGAACTTTCCAGGCTTTTCGAATCCTTGAACAGTATTATCACTTTGAAAATAAAGGAGATACAAGCAAGTTCTTCTGTGCACAAAATAGTCGCGTGTTACACATGAAGACCGTAATCTTGAGTGATTCAGTCCAGTGCCAGGTTACCCTCGATTAAGGTCGAGGACCGGTCATTTCGGAGTGGAACTAAAAGCTCCCTTACGAAGCTAAAACAAGAAGTAAGATGATTGGATAAAAAATTATGCATTCACGTTAAACGTTACTTTTAGTAAAACCCATGGGAATAACATTACCAAACCAAGCGGTAACAGTGCATCTGTTTCCTCGTTTCCTCAGGTGCTACTTCAGAATCTCACCATAGATTGTGCTCACCCTGGTGTAAATAGGCTTGAGATTTTTTGCAATGCACTACTCGTAAGGTTGCTGAAAACGCCTCGACTACCGGTTTCGCCCTTCTTGGGGCCCAGCAGATAGGCGCAGTCCCCGGGTTTGCGTCAACCTTATGTTCTACTTGAAACCTAACTGCACAAACTTGGCGAAATACACTCATTTGCAAGCTAATTTGGTTTTGAGATTTGGGCTTGAGCTTATACGATGCTTCGGACATCCAAATTTAGCGCAAACTGGGAGAGAACGGTGTCTAAACGTACTCTACGCTGAAAGCCCTAGCACAATTTTCGCTCACCCTTTCGTCGATATCATGCTTGACCTGACAATAATCTGAAATTGGGTTTTGTCAGCTGAGTGCATTAGAACCTTTGATTTAGCACAGCTACTCATCGACTGCAATCCACAATTACGTCATCTAACTCGTCGGTGCTTAGTTCTGGGGCGAGAATTCCTTATCAGCAATCCGAGCAGACAAGAGGTGACCGTGTTCCCCAAGATAGGCCTCTATCCTAGCTATACAGGTTAGCTCTGTTCCACCGGCGAGAAAAAACGTACTTTCGAGATCACTATTTTTCCGGGTTGTAAGGAAACCAGCTGAACAAACCCTATCTGCTCAATCCACCTTCCCACCTCAGTGTGGCCCATATCTCTTGATTGCGATGAGCACACTGTTGCCGTCAGCCAAACGTGACACTATTTCACTGCTTCACTATTTGTATCCTGCATCACACGCACTGTGGACTCACAAAAACTTTATAACGTTTGTTTGAAATGTCCTCTGTAGAACAACGTTGTCATGCAAAAATATTTTGATCAGGACACACTAGTCACTAGGAGCGCTTCCTTCAAACACAGAGGAAACCATTTGTTTCTCCTGTGGGTAATCCCTCTTCACAGAGAGCTTTACACGAAATTTCATCCGATAGATGCGCCCTTAGGAAGTGACCTCTACTTTCATGGCCATCCGATAAGAGGATTACTGTATCTGGTCCCAATGATAAACAGCTGTTCGATTTTAACGGTGATTATCCAAAAAAAGATCGCCAATGTTTCAACGCAACCACTGCTTTTCCCAGTCACCTGTCTTCCTATCTGAGTAAGCGAGGAAAAGGTTAATTTGATGAAATTTTGCTTTAAAAATCACCAGTGCTCTATGAAACGAACACCTAAATCACAGTATGCTTCTGTGAAGTTAATCCGGTATTTCCACTGAGCGAAACACATAAGCGATTTGAACTGAACACGAATCTATTCTAGAACTAAATTAGAACTATTCGGATTACCATCCATCCTGAATCGATTTGAAAGCTTGAATTCAGTCCAACCAAGCTTCACGTGACCGCATCCTGGCGGCTTGTCTCAAGTCAGTACCGGAGTTTGAGAAATTCGTGTCAGACCAACAGGATGTGCTACTTACTCGTTGAGTTCTATTTCCGGCCCGAGGTTCATCACGAGAATGCATTGCAGTTTGTATGAGAACTCGTGGATCGATATATGCTAATCGTCACTCTCAAGCTGAATGGCATTTGAAAATGCGAATTGTCAGTTGCAAGCATTAACGTTTTTGGTCGCGCAGAGATGTTAGAGTGCGTTCCAGATTACACAAATACTCAGTGATCTTCGTCTTGACTATATCTACAGAAAGTGAGATGTTCTACAACTGTGTGAAATATTCGTTTCCATCCAACAAGTTCGTGTCAAGCGTGCGCTTTCACATGTTCGGCGAAGAGTGATGTAAACTCTCGGTCGTGTCCTTCTTTTCGGCATCGGCGTTAAATTGGACGATAGTGTAGGATTTTGACATGGCAATGAATGGTTCTTTATTCAAAAAGAAATATCGGATGCGTACTGTGAAGTTGCCTGTCTTCTAGAAATAGATTATCTTCGTTATAGTCCTGATCGGCGAATAGAAAATAAAAAAAACAACGCCGATGGGGAGGGTGGTATTACACCGAGTAATTTATTCTCAAAGATGAGGGGCAAGTTCTCTCAGGCAAGTGTCGCAGCAGTGATGGAGGATCCCAACGGTCTCCTGTAAATACATCCGACAATAACAGTTTATTCTCATCAGCTTCTGAGACTGTGCTGTCCCAGACAGCACGTTTCGTGCAGTGTTGGTGGTCTGTAAGTGAACAAGCACAAAGAATGCAGCATACCTCTGTTCTGCCACATAGAGGCTGGTGTAGAAATTGTTTTGAAACTTAAAACTCCTCAACACAATGTGTGTGTGGACTGTGTTGCATAACAACCGGCCTGTTCTCCGTGACACACAGTGTGGTGTGTGTGGGGGGTGGACGTGTTGCATAACAACCGGCCTGTTCTCCGTGACTATCATTTGCTGAAAGCAAAATGAAACCCAAGTTAGAGACAAAGCAGCTACCCTTAACAAAGAGGCTGTGTTGAAAGAAATCGAAACTAAGTAGCCGTTCTATTTTGATTCGGTGCGTTTAGGAGCAAGGATATATTTTAAACGGCAAATCGCAACTGTTCGTCTTTTAGTCTTCAGTGTGACCCCCCGATGCCCGTCCTTAAAATTTGGGGACAGTAACGCCCGGTGGACAGAAGGGGAGAGCAGTAGCGCTCGCTCAATAATACGAAGGTGCTGGCATCTGAAAAAACAGAACTGAAAAGGTGACAGAGTAGAGAGTAGGTTATCTAGTCCAGTAGGGTTCACTGAAAACAGTTCCGCTAAGTTTTACCTTTCAACACACATCAATACATGGGTTGTTTTGAACACTACCACCCCGCCATCCTATTTCAAATTCAAATTAATTTCGCGGTTCAAAATGGTGAGATCGTGTCCAATCGAATCTGTGAAAAACTTCAGGAACTATCAATCTGTGCACATAAAACGGTCTGTTTGGGGACCAGTGTTTCTGTAAAACTCCAAAAGAAGGGTGTTGCGGTTCCTAAACCCCAGGTCAAATGTTATTAATGAGTTCCCCGCACTTGCCTGTTGTGTTTCAGTACCTGTTTATTTTTTCCGTGCCCTACTCGCATGTTTTTCAATGAAAACGTCTGAAGTGTTCTTCTCTGAGCGAGAAGTTGTCTACCCTGATTCAATATCCGATCATATAGTGTGTCTCGCCCATTTACATCTCAAATTTTCAACTCATGTTATTGATTTTTAACGCTTATTGATTAGGTGGCTATTCACGACCTTGGCAATTGGCAGTTTGAACATATTATCAACATTGATTTTTAAGTTCTCTATGGATTATTTACTGTGCAATACGGTTGACCAGAGCGTCCTAACTAGTACCATCATTCAGCTTGAGCAAAATGTGTTCTTAATTGTATGATCATCATTTTCTATCGGTTATCAGTCAAGACTTCAGTCAGTTTTAGTCCATGCTTTGCTCTCCCGGTAAGCGCTCAATCCGGTGACCGCCCGAAACCGTTTTCCGCTCGAAAGCACGCTCTTTCAACCTTATAAAGGCAAGGTTCATGTTTCATCATCGACAACATGAAATTAGTGTTCAACACCGATGCTTCACCGCCGTAAGTGCTGTCGGATGCTGTCGAACGCAAGAGACACTGACCCATAGAAACCGGAGTGCTTCAAAATCCTCGACATAGAGAAAGCAAATGGTCTAGACCGGATTTAGGACAGGAGTTTCTGAGAAAAGGATATGAAGCCCGGTTGTTAGTCAATTTCCGTACTACCGCGTAAACAAGAGATCACGAAACAAAGATTTATTGATGAGTTCCTCTTCGATTGGGAACCACGCAGGTGTGTTATCGATCGCTTCCACTCATGCCTGTGATCGGGTTAAAGTATCATACATGCTTACTTTGGTGTCAGTATCAAAACGAAGGCACTATCTTTTTAGTGGTGTGGAATTTGGATTGGTGAGACAAGATAGTATCACTGTTTTCACAAGGAGTGATTTGGCAGGAGTGTTCCGGTGATCTGTGTCGATCAGGAGGGCGGCGATAACCTTTGTTACAAACAAAAGGATACGTGCTCCTTGATTTTCCGGGCTACCCGACCCCATTACAAATAAATGAATACATGAGCATAGAGCAATCGTGAACCAGCACTTGTTTCACTGCTGAAGTGAAATTCCAGCTGTGCTGTGAGTTCACCTAAGACGAGCTCATAAATTGTACAAGGATAGTCTGTTGTGGTTATCATTTTTGCCGCAAGTTTTCATCATTTTTAAGACTTTGAATTCGCAAGACTACTCAGGCCTAATTTTCTTCGTTAACAGATCTCAGTAGAATGCTCGTGGACGAGTTGACGCAAAGAGACGAACTGCATTTGGAACAAGGCGCACGGTGCATCGAATTGGATGACCTTGCAGCGTAAGTTTTGAGCCCTTTCAGTCTGACAAAAACAAATGTAACGTGAAATTTCGCTAAGGCGATGTAGTATCGTTATCTTGTTATCGCGATAAGGTTCCTTATGGATTGTTATTCTTCATCAGTTTATGTGAGCTGATTATCACAGTTACGTGTGATTTGTAATGCTCCATATTACATATACAGAGCTCGGGATAGTTCAGTGGCTAAGGTACAAACTTACTGACCCGAAATTCGAACCCAACCCTGCCTATTCGACTGTTCCTATCTAGACTTCGGCCGGCAAGACAGCCAAGTGGTTCGAGCGCGAATTTATTTACTGACTAGAAGGTCCATGGTTCGAACCCGACCTCTGCCTCTCGACTTCCCCTGTCTACGTCTGGGCAACCTGACAGTATCCCAGCTCTTCTGCTTCCTTCGAGTGGCATTGCATCTAGACGCTAAAAGGGTATTGGGGCTGGACAGTCATCACATACAGCGTTAAGCTCATTTGTCAAGCAAGTTCTCATACAGACATCCTTCAGAGCCAAATCGGTTCAGCGGTTAATCTGTTCCATCGCTTCATCCACCGCCTAGAAAAAAATTTTAAAATCCATGAGGTCTTTTATACATGCTTCTTGTACTTTTTCCCGAGAGAAAAAAACTGAAGAGTTCCACGCAGATACACTTATCATAGGGACACAGATGTGGTCTACATGTTTTTCAGAAGGGTTTAACACATCGCCTGTTTACGTCGACAGACATGCTCAAGATGAAGTGTGATCTAACCACATTTTAATTATCAACTAGATATAATTGATTGTGCAATAAATATTGACACTGTTGATGTAAAAAATGACACTCCCGGAAACCTAAGCCACAACCTTGGGTTTCGGCAACGTAGAAACCGTAAGATTTCTTGAATCGAACACCCCAACCATTAGATTTCCCTGCTTGGACGGTGTAGTAACAGTAGTCTTCTCAGCTTAGTTCTCGGTATGAGCCTCTTAAGCTAGCGTTCCCACCAAAAGTGAACAAGGTATATCAGCGCCCAAAACGAAGTCATGAACACTTGTACAGCGCTTCATATACATAGCGCTGGCGGCAACAACTTTCTGGAAATTCTGGCGCGTTCTGGAANTTCGGGTGGCATTGCGTCTAGACGCCAAAAGGGTGTTGGGGCTGGACAGTCATCACGTACAGCGTTAAGCTCATTTGTCAAGCAAGTTCTCATACGGTACAGATATCCTGCAGCGCAAAATCGGTTCAGCGGTTAATCTGTTCCAACGCTTCATCCACCACCTAGAAAAAAAGGAAGTTCAAAATCCATGAGGTCTTTTATACATGCTTTTTGTACTTTGTTCTGCGAGAATAGACTGAAAAGTTCAACGCAGTCGCACTTATCTATGGGACACTGTTGTGATATACATGTTTTTCTATGCAGAAGAGCGTAACGTCACACTTGTTTACTTCGACAGATGCTCAAGATGAAACGTGACCTCATCGTCATCATCCTTCGCTGATGATCTAACCACATTTCAATCGTCAGCTAGATATAATCGATTCTACAATGAATACTGACACTGTTGATGCAAAAGTGGCACTCCCGGAAACCTGAGCAACAACCTTGGGTTTCGGCAACTTAGAAACCGTAAGATTTCTTGAACGCAACCATTTAAATTCCCATACTTGGACGGTGTGGTAACGGTATTTTTCCTAGCTTATTTCTTGGCATGAGCCCCCCAAGCTAGCGTGCGCACCAAAAGTGTACAAGGTATGTTAACGCCCAAAACGAAGTGAGGAACAGTTGTACAGCGCTTCATATATATAGCGCTGGCGGCGATAACTTTCTGGAAATTCTGACGCGTTCTGGATGCGCTGTTGGCAACCGGTATCTGGCCAATACTGGGTCATGATTGGCTGTTGGGTCCAGACTTTCGACAAATCAGATCTCAGCTTGATGCCGGACCGGCAAGCGTCCCGAATATTTGGCCAATCTTGCGTGAAATAGGCTTCTCGGCCATAGCAGCATCTGACTGCGAGCGGTAAAACGGGATCAGTGTGGAATTCCATCTAACAGACGGCGACGTTGTTTTCATCGATCTTATCAAACTGAGATGTCCATAAGCATCGTTATCAGCCCCTCTCATTCATGATGACAACCTGACGAGCGCTTTGCTTTCATGAGAAAATTAGGTGGAGATACAATGATACACGTTCAAGCCGCGTAACTGACGAGATTCTGGCATCACCGATAGTGCATATCGATATTAAAAAACTGGACACGTGTATGGTTTGATCAACGATGGACCACCTTATGAACCAGTTAGATCAGTCCTTCATCCCCGAACCTAGTCAGGGTACTCGATATGAGTATATTTGTCTGATGGTGAACAACCGTCAATAATTCCCTGAACGCTAACACTTTCGAGTTAGGGCTGAGTAGCAGGCTTCCAAATAAGGTGATGTGATCAAGCAACCCCCGGAAGGCTTGATTATACCTGGAACCCAATGAGCTTGGTTCTAATAACCTGACGATTGTTCATTCAGGCTCAAAATTGAATACTGACCTCCTATTGAAGCCATCGGTTATCGAGTTCGCCCAAAAAAATCTATCTGGAGTCTTTGTCCGTGATACTAACCCGAACATGTTAGCATCGGGCACAATAACAACACATGCTAAAAGGAACTAAGTATTCCNGCACAATAAGAACACATGCTAAAAGGAACTAAGTATTCCAGTTAGCTTACACTGGAAGTAGCAACATCGATCTCACTGGCCCATATATTGATTAGCGGCGCTCACGATTTAAAATTTAACATTCGAATTTGACAGTGTGTCATCGCCGGGCAGACTGAGTTCTTGTCACATGACAGGACACCAGAAGAAGTCAGCCAATCTCATGCTGTCTGAATCACATGCACAGCGATTGGTGAATAAAACTATTGTACTGACAGACTAGCCTGCAGATCAGTTCCTGAAAGATGCCTCCATAAATATTGAAGAATATTTCCGGAAATGCACCTGCGTGAACATCCTGGCGTACTATTGTCAGGGCGCGCCCAGACAGGAAAAAAGCACATGTGCAGAGAGTGACGCATCCCCAAGGTCACCATCGGTACGACACGTCCGGAAAGTAGGTGAGTTGGCGGCTCTCACCAAACGGGTTAGCAACACACGACCAGCGTAGTGGGCCTGAGAATGTTCACGACCGGAACACCACCATTGGCTGTACGGAGCGAACAAGTGAACGACCATATTTGGCCAATTAGTCATCCTATATATTTACGCAGACGCTCTGTATGTTTTGTCCTGGCAATACAGCCGTGCCCCCAGTTCTCTTTCTTCTCCCTATCGCGTAGTCTGGCAGGCTCAGTGCAGGCGCACAATACAACAACTATCGACACTGTTGGAAGACTCACGTACAAGCAAGCTTGTGTTAGACTTCTTCCAGGTACGTTTCTTAACCGGACCTTCTCACATTGCCTTTCCTCCGACTGATGACGAAACATAAAATAGCTTGCCATTTTTCGGGGGGTGATAGTCTTCAGTCATCGGCCAACTAGGGCGCTCTCAACATCGGGCAGGAGGTCTTATGGGAACCAATCATATCTTAGTTGACATTGTTGTCAATCAGTTTTACTGTCACTGGTTTCCCTAGAGGCTTTTTGTGGTTTTTTCTTCCTTATAGTGGGAGTCGAACTGTTAGCATACATGACGTTCGCTTTGTGAACAAACTAGAAAAAAGCGTCATATTTATCATCACAACCGTTTCTGTTTCCTCTTCCCACAGCTACTTCAAAGATCTGTGCATCCGCGCTTCGATTCGCCAGTTCCGGCGTAAAATTAGCGCCGGCAATCCCGATCCAACCCGAAGTTCAATGCCCACTTGTCTGCCGACACATTATCTCCATATTCCAGAGGCTAATGGGGCCAAATCCGTTGACCCCATGTTCACAACTTTGGTTGAAGTCAGAGACAAGAAAAGTAGCGTTGGCCAGCGGCTCATTTCCACTTTGTTTGGTCGGAGAACTACTCGATGATGCGCGTGACGGACAATCCACTTCTGGCTCTGTCATTTTCAACGATAACAGTCCTGCTACAGAGCCCCGCAGAGCTATGCCACATGTGTGCACATACGTGCACAAAACTGCGAAAAATCAACCTGAATTTGTCACTTCAGGTTCTCCCATGGTTCATGGAGTCTTGTGTACATTATTTCCGCTATTATATCTAAATCTGATCTTTGAAAGTGTATTCAGTCCTTGATCGCAGTGTGTGGTCGGAGCTGAGGAGGCGAGCCACACCCCTTCTATCTAAGAGTGGTGACAGCTCCACACCGTTGTGAGATTTGAACCGGCTTCTGAGACACTGGCCTCTAGTACTCAACAAAGACCACTCTGAACATATCAGGAGTTTGCCTGTAGAAAGGATAAGAACGCGAAGTTTTCACCATGAACTGTCATGCATTCTGACGTCACCTGCCCAACCATAGGGGGGCAGAACCGCTCCCCCAAAGTGACTGGAAATCTAATCATATCACTCCTCTCTGTACTGCAACAGTGCAGAGGATAAGAACGCGAAGTTTTCACCATGAACTGTCATGCATTCTGACGTCACCTGCCCAACCATAGGGGGGCAGAACCGCTCCCCCAAAGTGACTGGAAATCTAATCATATCACTCCTCTCTGTACTGCAGAAAACCAGTGCAGTTACCCTCTCCCGTACCGCGCAGACGAACGAGACTAGTTGCAGTTACTTCGTTGTACACACCCACGAAGTTCACCCAAGCCCAGAAGAGTCGGCGTGTCACAATCGGTCTCTTCTAAAGACTGGTATCTTAAAGAGGGTAGTGCACCTTCGAATGAGAGAACCGACCAAGAGCGATCTCCTCAGATAGGGAGTTTAAAAGCGAAATTCGATTTTGGTAGCCAGCTGAAGGTTGTCTGTTCCTCTACCACTTTTCGGCTAAGAGATACACACGAGATTGGAAAGCAACAGCAATCTGAATGTACTTTAAACACTGTAGGTATTTTTATTGCGTGTACCTGCCGACACACCCCTTGAAGAGACTTTGGGAATTTTTCAATTGAGTAAAACGAACCTAATCTGAAAAGCTGAGAAGCACTGAACAGTTTCAGGTCGGCAACCTTCCGTCTAGTAGTCCGGCTACTCAACCGATCTGCGAATAGCGACTGATCATCGTCATCGCAAGTAACTCGCACTTGTATAGAATTTAGCACCAGTTGTCCTTCAAGCGCGCGATCCGCATCACGTGGTCACAACACATGTTGACTGACTCATGGAGTCAGACAACGTCTCAGATGGAGGTTTCACTCATCGGGTGAATTTTATTCTTCCTCTGAGATACTTTTTGTGAAGAATGAGCGGTCCTGTCTGAGTGTGAGCTAGTCCCATAGTTGATCATCCGCTGGTGGCCGAAAGGTTAGCTGGTCAGCCTGCTAGCTGAGAGATTGTCGGTTCGGGACCGTTTGAGTTCCTCTGAACTATGCATCGTTAATGATTCTCACCAAGACTATTGAGAGTAGTAGAGTTTTCCGCTTCTCAGCGCCGATTGGCTTCACTTACAGAATGAAACGGCCATTAAGGATATAGTGAGTGAGCTATAAAGGTGGCTGTTTTTGGTCCTTCAAGGAGCAGAAAATGCGTAAGAAGAGAGTAGGAGATTAGAAACAGGATGCTTTTGAGAAGTAAACGGACATTTCAGAACATCTGTGGCTAAGTTAGCCGCCCGTGCATTTGTCATCCATGGAGAGGGCACAAGAATGGCCGAACCAGTGGGGAAGTTTCTTAAAAGCAGGTTGACAAATGAGAAGTAGTTCGTGAACTTTTTTCATAAAGAAAACTACTCACAAGGTTGCTGGAAACTCTTCAACAGCCCACGACCGGTTTCGCCCTCCCAGTTCGGGTTCATCAGGTAGGCGCAGTCCGAGTTTCCGTCAACCTTATGATCTACTTGAACCCAAATTACACTGTTTTCGAGAAATATACTCATTTGCAAATCAATTTGGTTTTCACGAGAGACTTAACTAAATCTCTCGTTTACGATGTTCTACAACTGAATGTGTTGCACACAGGCCGCTTCACGTATCAGTTGGCACGATATTCGGGATATCGCAGTATATTTTCATAAAGGAAACTACTCACAAGGTTTGGTAAAAACTNACAAAACTATGATTGTAACCTCTGGAGATTGGCTTAACAAAGCCTTCGGAGTAGAATATCGTTCAGTGACGCCACAGCGTGCACATCAGCGTCAGACATTTCGTATAACCGAGTAGACTCAGAATATCTCACCTCTGGGTCGTCCCTTTCTGGAGGAACACCTATACACAACTAATTTCGCTTGGTCACATGGACACAAATCCTTCAATAGTGCGCACTTCCTAAAGAGACCAGTTTGGATCAAAATCGAAGTGCAGAGACTATAGCACAAATGGATTTCTGTTAATGTACAACCAGTACTGTTAAACCCGGCCTAAAATTGACAAATTAGGTCTGAATACTTAAGCAAGTAGAATATACAAGTAGCACTGTTTGAAAGCAAAAAAATGTTATGTTAAATTTTAAAATCTTGTCTTTCAAGATGTTGGTGAGATTAAAACGCTTTCGTATCCCACTGTGTTGGATACTACGTTTGGAATTAAATCGCTGCAAGTGTAACTTTACTCAAATCGAGAGTTTATGATCTTGTCGTAGAGCAGTGTGTTTTTCGGTGGTGTAAGAGCGCACAGTTTTCCGTGTCCTAACGTGATCAAGGAAAATGCTATGATTATACCTTATCAGTGCACTATTAGTACCTTAATCGAAACGTTTTCTATCAACCTTAGACCGCCAACAGGTCAGGAAGCGAAAATACGTATAAGAGGACCACGCACGACCTCTCACTCAAGCGAGGTTCTCCCTATAAACCTCAGTTATCGTTTTTAAGGTGGATTCTTAACAACGGATTTGTCCCAACCCTCCACCAATTTTTTAACATTCTGGAGTGGTAAAGTTGGTGATTGTTAGTCTCTATGATACTGACTTGTAGACCCGCGTTTTAACGTATTGTATTGCTGGGAAAATATACGAGTAGTGAGTTACTCCTTACTCGTAGGGCCATTGGTGCGGGTGTCAAGGAAACAACCCTCCTTAAATCAGACCACTTAGGTCGTTACCTATAAGTACAGTTTTCGTTCCAATGTCGAAACTTTTGTGCGTCTCACGAGAGTGGCGGCCCTTAGGATGTTCCCTCGCCGAAAGGACTACGCTAATCCATTAACTACTTTTTGATTGCCAGTAGTGCGAAATAAGTCACGAAAATTATAGGCTTTACAGGTGTTCAATAAGTCTAACTGCAACAAAAGCCTCTCTTTTATTGCATTTGCTTTATCCCTATCCCCAGGATCGTACTATGAAATCTATGAGCCGGTATTGCCGACTAGAAATCCGAAAACTGGAAGTTCCATCCAAAGTGGATCACATTCTTTTGAAACTGCGGAATGTCGGTATTACCGGCATTTTCTGGACCAAACGAAGCGAAATTTCTGGAGGTCATCTCCACTAAAGGTCTTCATCAGACCCACAGGAACTCTTGAAAAGGAGGCCAATTGAAAATAGGCTACCAACGGATGACCTCGTTTTCAGTAGTATAAGGTTAATGTGAATGTTTGAAGGAAAAATGCTATTACAGTCAGGTAAACTAGGCTCCCAAACGTCATTTCAGCTGATTTCGTCCCAAATAACATTTCCCTTTCAAGAACAAACGTCTGTAGAGTATACTGAACTGTCTCTTCCGCAAGAGATATATCCTCTCGAAGAAGATGAAAAGTATAAGGCGATTTCCTCATTTCGTCCATCTGGTTACCGAGAATATAGCGGTTTCTTTGGAGATTACCTTCCACATACGTTAGGGCTTGATTATTTTCATCATTTGAACCCCGCGTATGTGGAACTGGGGCATGATCGTGGGTAAAAAAATGTTCCCACTTGCTTGTGTTCGGAGCCTGTTTTCCGGGCTGAAAGATACGTTGTTCTCCTGGTTAGTTATAGTCAAATAAAGAGAACGTGGCGATGTGCTCGAAGATTACGGCAAAAGGGTGAATCTTGGTGGGACTTGGAGTAGTAATGAACCATTTCGCCTCATTATATGGGTCCCGTTGCATCACTACAGATTGCGACCAGATCACCTGTTTGGGAATGTAGACAATCTAACTCGATTCACATTCATAAATGGTGCAATCGAATGTCTGTTCGTAAGCTGCTATAAAATTTAATTGCCTTTTGTGACCGTTTGATGTGATATGTAGATGACTTGTAGATGGCATTGCTATTACGGTATCTCCTCCCGGGGAATAAGTTCACCAGAAGTTCCAGAAACGGGGAGTCTTAGTTGACCTTGGATGTGGAAGAATGTGGAGGGAAAATATGGTGTGATTATTTCTGTCAATAGAGCAGGCTCGCCTTCTTTATTTCTGTGTTTGATGCTTTTGCAAGTATTCTGCCAAAATGCTTCCTTTCGTAAGTAACCCCATCGGAATTTCGAGTCTTACCGCCGTTATATTTCGCTTTATCTCAAAATATTTTACCTCTTTTTTAAACCAATCGCAAAAGAGTATACCACGCCAGCCCCCCAAGGACATTTTGAAATGATGTTAGGAAGTTTCCCGAACGGGAGTGTTTTCTCTTGGGAATGCATATAGGTTTTTGCAACTGGGTTGCCAATATTCAAAAGTGCGTGTGTTTTTCTTCAAGTTAGACAACCACGAATTGATCTTTTTCTCCAGCCTCGGTTGGTTTTGTGTCTTGCCGAACGATCGTGCAACTCCGTATCGGTCCCTTGGCTTCCTGCTCTGCCCACTATGGTATATCAAAAGGAAGGATAACTCTGAACTGCCCCTTATGGAGACAAAGGGAAATCATTACAACCATATTTATAGGGCAATGACAGAATGTTCCACAAGGTCGAGCTGGAATCTCCGTGAGGGGGCGAGAAGCGTCGAGTCAAAGGTGCTCGATCCGGATTTGCTGGTATTCTGGCCAATCAGAGCATGCCTTCGTTTGATACGTGTCCTGCACGTGAAACATCCGTTCAAATGATGTGTTGTTCGGTTATTAGGGATGGTTGGCCTCCGGACAGTTGATGAGCATCCTCATGCATAAGCCATCTTCCTCTGTGACGAAAAGCCTTCGACATGCCGTTTATTTTCTGTGTGTCATTCGCAAAAGACATATACCATTGAACAT